GCAGGTATCGTGTTTGTTTGGGTTCTATAATCTTGTATCAACTCTAGCTCTGAGATCCGGCTGCTGAAAACGGGGTTTCTGGGGTTTTGTTTAGCTTCTATATTTGTTACGATGTTTCAAACTGCAGGCTCAGAGGCTGGCAAGGCAGGTGGGGAATGTTGGAGTCCTCTGTCACTGCAGCAAGCAAGCCTCGTGTTCAGTTTAAGCTGCCTGGCCACCGGCCGCCATCTTGGCTGCCAGTTAATTTGCATATCTCGCTGATTAGCCAATGAAAAGGGTAGCGGTCGTATGCCAATTACCATGTTTCTCTTTTATTAGTGTAGATAAAAGGCTAAGTTGAGTAGTGCATGCGTGATACATAAAAAGCTCTAGCTGGCACCAATCACATGCGTGTGCTTCGATCTGTAATTGTCGATTGTGAATTTGATTGACACGTCTATTATAGAGAAAGGGTGAATAATGATATTAAAATATTTCTTCTAATTTCCTTTCAATGTGCTCGAATCTGTGCACCAGGCCACTAGTTATAATATAAAAGTAAATGGATAAGAAAATCCATGGGTAGAAATTAAGTTGTAAGTTTCGGCTTACACATGATTCAGCTTCACAACGTATAGCAGATAGTTTCATTACAAAATGATGAGACATTGTAGGACCCTAACTCTTGTGTATATCAGCCTATGGTAAAATTGCTTGTCACACGTCATTTGCTTAAAGTCACAGAACCCATCAACAATGTCAATTGACAATTCACTGTGTAACCCTTTGTATCTTACACACCTTCACAGAATTATCCTGTTTTCAGTTGTTGTACCAGAAGAGGCAAAGCTCCAATTGTACGACTGCTATGATATCGTGATGTGCTCAGGGTCAACACATCCTTATAGGGGTAAGGGCTCCTTAACGTCTATACTAAGCAGCTCACTCTTTTCATGTACTTATTCTGTGTCCACTTTTTTTGAGGTTTCTTTCATGATGTCCAGACTATTATTTACCATTTCTCACTACTGTTTGCCTAGGACAAAAATAGGAAGAGTCAAATGTTTAATAATCTGGCCTTTGAATGAAGGCTAGACCTTTTCTACTGAGTAAGTACATAGATTTACTGAAGGCTAGTATGTACGCTGGTCAGAACCCTTTTGGCTCTGAATCCCAGTTGGGATGAACAGAAACCTAATCTTCAGGCAACTAATACTGCCTTTCTGTTGTGGCCATCTAATATGCAATTTGAATAATTACGTGTATTTTGGAACTCTCCATCTGAATCAGAAGAGATCACAAGATTAAAAGCCTTTTTTATGTTTGATAAACGATATCAAAGCAAATAGAGGGGATCAAACCTATTACTCAGTACTAATCTTTATATTTACTTACTACCTTTTGTTCCCTATTTTTTACATAGCATAAAACTACAGTGAAAAAGTTTATATAATTTCTTATTTTAAGTAGTATGTCAAGGCTGTTACCTTTGGAATCAGAAAGGATAACAAGTTTATCATAGAAGAAAGCATAATGTGCCTAAAAGTGATAAGTTATGAGGCTGGAAAGTCACTGAACTAGGCCAACATTTCTTTTCCTCCCCTGATCTACCAAGGATTCACTTTCATTAAGATGAAATATTAACTTTTCCATGCAAAACTGTATAATTAATTATACTGCAAAATCATTTCCAGGGAGCCTAACATACCAAGAGTTACTTAGTAAGATGTGTAAAAAGGCAATAATAACTCAGATTACAACATACATTTGTAGATGTATTCTTATTTTTTATCCTTGTGAACAATGGTAGACATAATATCCTTTTGCTATAAGACAAGTATGCCTACACAAAGATTAGATCCACGTCTGGAGATCACCTCCATGTTTCATCAACGTCTTTAATTCACAGACAATGTACGTGTATGTTTATCTTAATTCTTACACTATTATCTGCAAGGCCTGGCACTAGCCTGGCCAGTGTGGCTCAGTGGTTGAGCATTGACTTTGTGAACTAGGAGGTCCCGGTTCAATTCCCAGTCAGGGCAATTTCCAGGTTGTGGGCTTGCCTCTCAGTGTAGGGCATGCAGGAGGCAGCTGATCAATGATTTTCTGTCATCATTGATATTTCTCTCTCCCTCTCCCACTCTGAAATCAACTACAACAATATATCTATATCTATATCTATATTTTTTTTTAAAAAGACTCCTGCAGTAGACCATTTCTCATGAAATATTTAAGTTACCTTTTCTTTATCAACTGTTGTTACCAGTGCAAATTTTTTTTTAAAATCTACAATGTACCATTAGGGAATAACCCTTCCCTCCCTTAACAAAAGGGGTAAATTAGTGGATTCAGGAAGTTGTGTCCTGGTTAACTTTATCTGCCTTTATTTTTAATAAACTATAATGCTAAAAAGACAGCAGACTTAATGAAAACCTTCCTAAGACATTAGACCATTATCTTTGCTCTAGGAAATAGAACACATATTTAACAATATACCTCTTTGATGACTCTTAATATCACTTCTGATCACATTGAATACCCTCTTAAAATAGTCTAGACTGGGTTTCAAATGTGCCAAGACATGCCCTAGAATCTGTTTCATCTACCAGCTTAATAAGTCGCTTTGACATCTGCTAAAAATGTGGAGGTCCCAGTGCAGCCTAGTTACTATAAAGTTTTAGATACCTGGTTCAAGTTAATGGAGGTGGCTTGTGCCACAGACATTAAATTATATATGTTATTAAAGTTATATTTTCATATGGAAGTTAATTTATAAATTTAAAAGTAGAAATGGGTTTAAATTTGTCAGACCATTCTTGATCAGGAAGGTTGAGATCTGATTGGGAATAAGAAATCACACAAAAGGAGTAAATATATATAAAAGGAGTAAATTATCATGGCTTTCTATAGAAGACTGCTTCCCCTCATTACTACACAATAAGTGCAAATATATCAACATGAAAGAAAACATTATGCCTGCTTATAGGTTTCCAGGCCACTGGAAAGACAGCAGGGAAGCAGTCCTTCATAGCTACTAGTATTTTTAGCTTTTTTATTCAGAAGTACCACACAAACTAGGTACCAAGTCCACAATGTAGAACATGTAAGAAATGTTACTATATACTCAATAATGAATTAACTGAGGGTAAGCTGTTATATTACATATTTTGCAAATATTTTAAAGTTAATATACTTAAAAACTTAAGGTTAAACATCTGAGTTCTTTTTAAGGAGCCAAACATAAAATTGTCTTCATAATTTTGGTGAATCTTCCAAATCCCAATGAATAGAACTGTGGCAAGTATGATAAATAAATAAAAAAATATACCAATGTCTTTGGTGTCCCCTAACAGAAAACAGACACTGTTGGAGGATAATTTCATTGGTACTCACTGATAATAAACAGAAGATCATTTTCTTGATTAACTATTTCCAATCCTAGAGCTGTAATAGAGCAAAATCTATAATGCAGTGTGTATTATTTAGTAACACCATTATTTAGTAATAGGTATTATCAAAAGTAAAAAAATAATTAGAACCAATATTTCAGAATATCAATACATTTAACATAAAGTTAAAAATTATATACACTGATTTCTAAGCAAGAAACTCAACTAATATAGTAATATAGACATCTTCATAAAAGTGTGATATTTATGAAAGATTAAATTTTCTTTAAAGAAAAAGTCATTAAAATTATGGCACTGAGGAAGCAAATAAATTTTTGAAACTTTTATTGATTTTAGATTTAAAACAAAATTCAGTTTGAACCACAAGTGGGAATACAATGTCTTCAAGATACTTCTCAAGCTATTATTCTACATAATAATGAAACAATTAACAACATAGCATAATGTGAAGTTTTCATTCCAATGGTTTATATATTTTCTTAGGGTGGATTAAACTTGTTTTTTACTTAACACCATTTAATAGAACTATACAAAAACAGAAAGGTATTTTTAAATGACTCGCCAAATTTATTTTGAATGTGTTTAAAAACACAAGTATGTAAATGTCTGGGTAAAGAATCAGCAGTCTTCACCTCTATAGTGAGCTTGCAAGACTTTACTTTTGTAAGCCAGAAGAGTTAGGCTGTATTGTTTTTTTGTCGACTCCTTTTATATTTACTCTCTCTGAAGAACTGGTATAGAGAGAATCCACTTACTCTATTTGATGAGATTTTGATCCACCCAATTTTTTGTATAATGCTAGTCCCATAATGTAAAGAACTTCGCCATTGCTCCTTAATGCTAGTGTCCCTGTCCACTCTTGTCCCTGTAGAAAGGTCTGCTGACCCTTTTCATCAGCCCTACCTCACCTACTGCCAAAGAGAAAAGAAACTGGAAAAATTCTTGCAATCTAACCCACTGTTTCCTTAAAGCAAGAGACAGGACGCAGGAAAGAGAGGACTTAGCTGTTAATAGATTTAGTATAAACCTTAGATGTGTGCCCCAGAACACAATATTGCCTCAATTTCCTATCTTTCAGTCAAGTCACTTCTAGCACTACAAGTAAAATATAAGGTGTTTTCTAGTCTGGATCATCAAACATAAAGCTTCTCTTATTACAGTAATTAATCTCTTCTTTCTTTGAATTAAAAAAAAAAGTTTCCCTTAAGGGAAAAACAACACTGATTGCCTAATCTGATTGCTGAATTATAGCTTAAGTATTTTAAATGTGATTCAAAGAATCATCTAGAATTCTATGGCAACTACTATGAGTTTGATTAACAGAAAAGTAACAGAAAGATGATAAATTCTGTAGATAGATGGAAGGATGAATTATTGAAGGTCCAAACACAAATTCTGATTCTAAACACAATAACAAAGACATTTTTCCTTTCAGGACTAAGATGTCTTTAAGAGTCAAAATTATTTTGGAGGTCATCCAGTCCAACTTCCATCTAGGTATTGTACCTCTCACATATAGTAGTCTTCAGAATTATAAAAATGTATAAAGTTATTTTTTTAAAAAAACCTACATAAATAAAAGTTATCTATATATAGAAATATCCATTCAGCAATTCCATAATTTAAATCAAATTGGGTAGAATTTGCTCCCTTTCACCCCCACAGACCATATTTACACACTAACACATCAAGTTACATTTAAGCAATGAACAGTACCTGACTAAAATGGAGAACACAGTACTCTAACACAGTCCCTAATCTTTTTCATGAACATAAAACTGCAAATCACTTATATAAATTATATCTCAATGAAACTGTAAAAAAAATTATAAGTAAATTACTAACTTGGACTTTGGTCTCTCATTTTAAGGTTTGGTTCTGGAATGCAAATATGCTCTTTGAAAGTCCAATAAAACCAATCTTTTCTATAGACTGTGTATATATGAATAGCTTACAAGGACTATTGAATCCATTGCATCACAAACAGGAGGACTGATGGAAAACCAAATGTGTCCAACATAGAAAATAACTCTTTATTTGGTCAAAAGTATAAAAGGTTCGACCTTATTTGAAATATGAAAAAGCTGAGTACTTACAAGATATATGAAAATACTCAGCAGAGATACTATGAAAACTTGAATAACAATAACTTTTTTTCTCAAAAAAATTCTTTCAGGCCACAGTATATAACAGAACTTACTGCTATTTGAAATATCATTAAAATATAGGTTCATATATAGAAGAGATTATGTATCAGTAATACTACTTCACTGACCAAAAAACATGCCCCTTCTAGAAGATATATTCACGAGATCTCATTTCTAAAACTGTATTTTTCTCATTTCTAAAACAACTATATATCTGATCAAGCCAATCTTACCAAAATCCCACAAATTATAAATCAATTAAAGTTTTGATTTCATTAATTTTAGCTTGTTTCACTTCACTGGCATTTGTTTTTTTTGTTCCAAAGGCTCCAGCTGCAAGTTCTCTCTTTGTATTTTGTATTTTCAGCATATTTTCTTCAACAGAGTCCTTCACAATAAACTTTAAAGGAAAAGAAAAAGGTAAATTGGTTAAGTATTTGTTAGGTCACAATATTTAAAATCTTTAATATACAGATCTTATAACATAGAAACCCACACCTGAAACCTATATGTTCATGTTGACCAATGTCACCCCAATAAATTTAAAAAAATGAAAACTTGAGAATATGAAAATATAGATCTACATTTTTGTAGTATTGTGTAGCTTTCAAAAATGGTCAATAAGCCCTAGACAATTTGGTTCAATGGATAAAGTGTCAGCCTGCGGACCGAAGGGACCCAGATTCAATTGGGTCAAAGGCACATACCCTGATTGCAGGCTCCTTCCTTCCCAGCCCAGGCCCTGGTCAGGTTGTGCGGGAAGCAACCAATCCATGTGTTTCTCTCACATCAATATTTCTCTCTGTCTTTCCCTCTCTCTTGTCTACTCTCTCTAAAAATCAATGGAAAAATATCCTCAGGTGAGGATTTAAAAAAACAGCAGGTCAATAATAACCTATTAGAAACTATTTAGTTCCACCTTTTACCTGAATATACAGTGAGCATATTTAGAACATCTTACCTAATAATAGACAAACATGTAAATTAACCATCCCTCAGCTATGCTTACCAGCCAATCAGGAGAGTATGCAAATTAACCCAACAAAGATGGCGGTTAATTTGCATACATAGGTGCAAAGTGGAGTAGCAAAGACTGAAGGCCCCAGCCGGAGCGAAGGCCTGGGTCCTGGGTGCCAGAGGAAAACCAGTGCCGGCAGCCAGGGGAAGGGAAGGCCTATTGCATGAATCTCTTCATGCAACGGGCCTCTAGTAATATAATAACTAGAGATGAGATTGCATTCCCTTATCACTCAATATTGTTTTCTGATACAAAAAATATGGCCATAAAGATATGTTACATCTTAAAACCCCATCATCAAATAAGACAGCACACACACAAAAAAAACAAACTTTAAAGGCAGCTCTGTAAGTGGAATAATAGCAAAAGTAAATGTATCATTATATTTTAAAAGCTAAATGATATTTTCTCAGAAATGCAAGAATAAGCCTTTATCTGGTATAATTCATAACATGAAAAAAATTAAAGAAAAGTGAATATCTCAACAGATGCTTAAGAAACACTTGATAAAATTCAACATTTATTCCTGATAAAAGAAAATCCACATTTACCTAGAAATAAATGTCCTTCAACCACATTAAGGGCATCTACTAGAAACTTCCCCAAAACAACATATTTCATATAAAACAAAAGCATTTCCAACAGAGATAGAAACAAGTCCAAAATTGTTACTATCACTTCTGCTGTCCAACACTATTAGAGGTTCTGGTTACTGTAATAACTAAAGTTGTTATGTATTGAGATACATAAAAAAAAATTAATGATGTGAATGTACTTAGGAGATACTACCTAAGTTCCTGTATAGGAACACTCTTATTAAAAAGATAGTTATCAAGTTATCAAATTAATCATAAATTTAATAAATCCCAAACAAGATTTCTTAAATGAGATTTGGTAACCTAAACCCAAAGTGCAATTTAGGAGTAATAGTAATAACCAATAAAATATTCACAATGAAGGATAATGTGAGCACTTTGCCCCACTATCTGAAGAGTCAGGGTCTGTAACATCCAAAACGACCAAAGGGATGACTGAATGCCAGGCTGTGCACGCAGCAGGCTCGGGTGGGTGGGAACAGGTGAGTGGGCTGAACTGCGGACCTCTTGGAGAGAGAGAGAGGCGGGGCTGATCAGTAGCTGCTGTGGGTGCTGGTGAGGCCCAGAGAAAGAAGCAGGGTCTGATCCACAGCCTCTGTAGCAGCTGCTGATCAGCCCTTGCCTCTCTCTCTGGGCATTGCCAGCAGCTACGCCTCTCTCTCTCTCTTTTCGAGAGGTCAGAAGATCAGCCAGCTTGCCAGCAGCCTGGGGTGGCTGCTGATCAGCCCCACCTCTCTGATTAGACCCGAGATAGACCTGGAAACCCTGACTGGCATAGAAACTGACCAATCAGAACAAAATCTGGATGAAGTGCGAGGAGCCAATGGCTCCCTAGGAGGCGGAGCTTTTGACGCTGACTGGCATAGAAACCGACCAATCAGAACCTAATCTGGGTGAACTGCGATGGCAGAACCTAAGGTGGGGGCTGAAGAGGGGTTTTAAGGGCAACAGCTGTTTGGTGTGAGGTGTAAGAAAGTGGTTCCATTTTTTAATGACCAGTTTGGCAGTATAGTGCATATGGCTGGCTATCAGTCCAGATATAGGGGTTATGTGTTTTTGTCCGACTTCCTTCAGTACAAAGCCATGGTGGTGGGGGCTGAGGCACAAGCTGTTGAGGGCAATCAGGCCAGCAGAGGAAGGCAGTTTGGGGCGAGATCAGGCCGTTGGGGAGGGCCGTTGGGGGTAAGATCAGGCTTGCAGGGGAGGGCCGTTGGGGGCGAGATCAGGCTGGCAGGGGAGGGCAGTTGGGGGGGAGATCAAGCTGACAGGGGAGGGCAGTTGGAGGCAACCAGGGGGGCAGAGGCAGGGGTGATCAGTCAGGCAGGCAAAGGGGTCAGTGGTTCTCAACCTTCCTAATGCTGCGACCCTTTAATACAGTTCCTCATGTTGTGGTGACCCCCAACCATAAAATTATTTTCGTTGCTACTTCATAACTGTAATTTTGCTACTGTTATGAATCGTAATGTAAATATCTGATATGCTATATGTCTTTTCCGATGGTCATGATCCACAGGTTGAGAACCGCTGGTTAGGGGCAATCAGGCAGGCAGATAGGTGAGTGGCTAGGAGCCAGTGGTTCCAGATTGCATGAGGGATTTCCGATTGGAGAGGGTGCAGGCTGAGCTGAGGGAACGCCCCCACACTCCCATGCACAAATATCATGCACCGGGCCACTAGGACTATATAAAACCATAGTAATTATACCAGTAATATTGTCCCAGCAATAGGATAAAAAAGATCAATGGCTCACGCTGGTTTGGCTCAGTGGATAGAGCATCAGCCTGCAGACTGAAGGGTCTCGGTTTCGATTCCGGTCTAGGGCACATGCCTGGGTTGCGGGCTCGATCCCCAATAGGGGAGACGTGCAGGAGGCAGCCAATTGATGATTCTCTCTCATCATTGATATTTCTACCCCTCTCTCCCGCTCCCTTCCTCTCTGAAATCAATGGGAAAAAAAGAGAGAGAGAGAGGGAGATCAGTGGAACAGAAGAGAGTCCACAAGAAACCCATGTAGTATGTTTGATAAAAGTGAAATTTCAAATCAAAAGAAAAAAAAGGATGGGCTTTTCAAAATAAATGATAATGGAGCAAATGGGCCTTCATTTGAAAAAAGAATAAAATTAGAATCATATCATTAATCATAAATAAAGAACAATATTTCAAACAAATCAGTGGTAAATGTTAAGAGATTCAGTTTTAAAATTTGAAAATAAAGCCTTCTGTTCTAATTAAGACCTTAAAATCTGGAAGATAAAAAGAAAGAAGCTGACATGTTTTAATCATAAAAATGTTAAGACTTTCTTATGACAAAAAAAACACACATAAAGTTCAAAGATAAGCAAAAGCCTGGGATAAATCATGTTCAATATATATAACAAAACATTTAAAATCAGTATGTATGAAGAGATTTTTTTATACTATAAAATTGTATTTGTACTTTTTGAAAACTAGGCAAAAGATATAAACAAGCAAGTCCCAGAAAAAAATATTAACAAACAACAGATATGTGAAATATCCCCAAGGTCTTAGGTAAATGCAAATTAAAGGGTACTTTTTGACCATCACATAAGAATAAATTTACATAATTCTCATATCATAAAGTCTACTTTGAAAACAACATGAAAGTTATCTAATAAAAATAATAAATCTATAATTCTATTTCTTAACGTATCTTGAAGAAATATTTGTATATATGCACAAATGCATGTAATATAATGCTCATTATGGCACTGTTTTTATTAGCAAATAAATGGTACTGGTTAAAGAAATTATGATGTATCTATATGTAGGCATTAAAAAGAATGGATTTGTAGAGTAGTCAAATTCAGAGACAGGAAGTAGAAGGGTGGTTGCGGGGGGGCGGGGGCGGGGGATAGGAAGGAATCATGAGTTAGGTTTAATGGGTATAGATAGAGTCTCAGTGTGAGATGAAAAAGTTCTGAAGATGGATGGTGATTATGACTGCAACAATAATGTGAATATACTTACTACCACTGAATTGCACACTTAAAAACACTTTTTATTGCCCTAACCAGTTTGGCTCAGCCGATAAGAGCGTCGGCCTGTGGACTGAAAGGTCCCACGTTCGATTCCGGTCAGGGGCATGTACCTTGGTTGTGGGCACATCCCCTACTGGGGATGTGCAGGAGGCAGCTGATTGATGTTTCTCTCTGATCTATGTTTCTAACTATCTATCCCTCTCCCTTCCTCTCTGTAAAAAATCAATAAAATATATTTTTTAAAAAATACTTTTTATTATTTTAAATACTACATTATGTATATCTTACCACAACAGAAAACAAAAGAATAGGTTTGATCTAAATGTACATATATGAAAGTCTCCAATATATACTGTTAAGGGGGAAGATAGCATGTTGCAAAATAATAAAGTATGATCCCAGAAAAATTTTTTAATTTATTTTTATTGTTGAGAGTATTACAGATGCCCTCCATTTCCCCACCTTGTGCCCTCCTTCATCTGGCTCCCACCCTAGAGGTATACGTTAAGTATGAAGGTATGTAAATATAGAGAAAGGGATTTGAATAGCATATGTTAAACCATTGGTGGTGGTTTCCTCTGAAGAGAATAAAAGTAATATTCATTTTTTGCCTGGGCTAAAAATATGTTTCATATTTGAAATATGAAAAAGCTGAGTACTTCCAAGATATATGAAAATACTCAGCAGAGATACTATGAAAACTTGAATAACAAAGTAACAAACCAGCTAGGGCCATTGATCTCTTTTTATCCTATTCCTGGGATAATATTACTGGTATAATTAAGTA